AAGCGCGTTTCATTCATTCTTAGAGCCATGGCTCCCCATGAAGCTGTTGGGGGTCACCACTTGCTTCGAGGACCGGATCCTGTCGGTGTTGCTGGTTGATGATCCTTCTTCTTAATCCTCACCGACGTCGATCGACGTCGATGCTTGTTCTTTGTTGCGTGTCGAAGTGTTTGTTCCTCCTTACTACTTGTCCCCCCCTTATATCAAAAAAAAGCATAAAAATATAGTGTACTGTGTATATGTAATTTGTGAGTGTTTTGGTATCCTCAACAAGAGGACCATCTTAGTAGCTGACAGGGGAGAAGCGTCSGTGTTGTTGTTGTTATCGACGTGATTGTCGAGAATTACTCTCCCGACTTGGTTTTTTTCCATAGAATTTGCMTTGTGCGTGATCGTGTGAGTASTTCTCATCAAACACGCTGATACTCCAGCGCTCCGCGCACTGGCTTGGTGCACCTTGTACTCTTACATAGATAATGTACTGTGTCCTACATGGTTGCATTTTTAGTTATATTTTCTTTGTGTACTGGACAAGTACAAGTACAAGTACCTTACATACCGCAATATGGTCACTGTCCGTTATCGAAGAACGCAAAAATTTCTTTCTTTCCGCCGCCTTCCTGTCCGAATCTGAATCTGAACAGTACTGGTAGCCTCGTACCGTACGATACCTGGTACTTCACTGTACAGGTGCTCTCTTTGCTGATTAGATAACCTCGGAAGCCTGCTGATACGAGTTCCGAAAACAGATACGGTACCTCCCCTTGCGTGAATTCCTTTCGTGCAACCCAACAAGGAACAACAAACCAAAAGCAAACAACAACACGCACCATGGTCGCCATTCGCAGGGCATCCCGGTACACCGGGCTCAGCGCGTCGATCCGCTCCTGCCTCGCCTTGCTGGGCTTCGCGGGGCTCCTCGGGGGTGCGGGAGTCTTCCTCCTCTCGATGGACGGGGGCGAAACGCAGCGGGGGACGCGCGGCCTGGTGGGCGTCGGCGCCCACTCGGCGGGGGCGACCCTCCGCAAGCCCCACCTGGTGTACGGGACGGCCTGGAAGAAGGAAGAGACGGCCGGGCTGGTCCGCCAGGCCGTCGCGACCGGCTTTCGGTTCATCGACACGGCCTGCCAGCCCAAGCACTACAACGAGGCCGGGGTGGGCAACGGGTGGACGGCCGCCGCCCAGGAGCTGGGCCTCTCGAGGGGGGACCTTTGGCTGCAGACCAAGTTCACCCCCATCGGGGGGCAGGACCCCAACAACGTTCCGTACGACCCAGAGGCGCCCCTCGCGGACCAGGTGAGGACCTCGCTGGAGGTCTCCCTCAAGAACCTCCGGACGGACTACCTGGACAGCTGGGTGTTGCACTCGCCGCTAGAGGCCTTCGAGGACACCATGGCGGTCTGGAGGGTCATGGAGGAGGCGGTCGACGCCGGGAAGGTCCGCCAGCTCGGGATCTCCAACTGCTACGATCTGGACGTCTTTCGGACGCTCTACCAGCAGGCCAGGCACAAACCTGCCGTGAGTTTGCGTTGTGCTGTGTTGTGCTGTGCTGTGTTTTTGCAGCCGCATTGGTGTTGGCATCGGTGGTTGTGCTCTTTGATGGAATGCGCATGCAGAAGCAAACCGCTGGAACGAATCCGAAAGTCCCGGTGTATGTGGGAAGTCTTGGTTTTGTCGATGCATCATGTATGAATTTATCGCGTGGGACTTGGAAGAGTGGTTTCCGTGGCATGCTGTAGTCTGAACATGGTGTTGTTTCGCTTTGTTTCCTTTCGTKTCCTTTTCGCAATCTTTCCTTTCGCGCCGTCGTCGGTTCCAAAAACAAAAACAAAAACACCCATCGACGCAAACAAACGACGGTGCCGACCAAACCACGCAGGTCCTCCAAAACCGCTTCTACGAATCCACCAAGTTTGACACGGAGCTCCGGAATTTTTTGAAGGGCCGGAACATCCACTACCAGTCCTTCTGGACACTGACCGCCAACCGCGGGGCCCTTGGCAGCGAACAGGTGAAAACCCTGGCCGAGGCCAAGGGGCTGACCCCGCAACAGTACATGTTCGCCTTTATGATGTCCATGGAAAACGTGACGCCGCTCTCGGGGACGACCAGCAGGATTCATATGGCCCAGGACGTTGCCGTCATGGAACGGGTGCAATCGGGGGAGTCCATGTTTACGACACACGAACAACGGCTCTTTGCCAAAATCCTGGGCATGCCAATGGATGCTCCGGGCAGCACAGCGTACAACTAAATCGAATACAACTGCCAATCACTCGTGCCATTGGATGCGACCTCCGAGTGATCCTCGTTCCTCGCCCTGGGCACACCGAAACGCATAACTATTGTAGAATTTTGCAACGTCCTTGGCAGAGACTGATATGATACTAATAACAACAATGCTGATAATGATTATAGGCTATAGCTTGCAACCCTCGCACCTTCCGCGTTACTTCCGCGGGATCAAGAAGACCGCGTCCGGGTCTTGCTCCCCCAGACGCTTGGCCGCCCACAGCCGCGGGACGACCCGGATTTCCCGCATCCCGCGGTACTTGTCCAGCTTGACGACGACGTTGCTGGCCTTCTCGGTCGGGGGGTAGATCCCGATCAGGATGCCTGTCTTGCCCTTGTCGGGTCCGTTGCAGAGGACGACCAAATCGCGGACCTCGGCCGGGTCCTTGGAAGGGTCGCTATAGACCAGGGCGTCGTTGTACTCCTTGAACAAAACCTCGTTGTCGACGACGCTGTCGTAGTAGGTGTAGAGGCCGCCCACTCGAAGGTACCGGTCGAGATGGAGGCTCATGTCGGCATAGGCTGTGTTGTGTTGTGTTGCGTTGCGTTGAATTGTTGTGTGTTGCGTGATAGGATTGTTGTTTGGGAAATCGAAAATACCGTTTGAAAAATTGACGAAACGATCCGACGACACACATGTTCCAGGGAAAAATACGACCAAAAAAAGAAAGCAAACGGTGGAAAGAAACGGCACAAGATATTACGGTCAGGTCATAGGCTCAAGAAACGCTATCAGCACGGCCTCGTTTTTTGATTTTTCCGGTCTGAAAGCTTCGAATGCGCGTTTTTGTTTGCGCAACTCACCCGTGTAGGCCTCCTCCAGCGACTGCTTCGCGATCGCCCGCTTCAGCCGCTCGACCGACGCAAAGAACCGGCCCACCTCGTATCGCAGGGCCACCCGCAGGCCGTAGTCCGAGGGCGAGTCGCTCGGAAAGGCCGCGTCCGTGTAGGTCGTAAACACGGTCACGTAGGACCGCAGCTGCGCCGGGTACGGCGGCAGGAGGTCCCACCGTTCCTGCATCAGGTCCCGCTGGAGCTCGTCCATTTTGAAACACAGGCCGCCACGGATGCGCTGGGCCAGTCCCCCGACGTTCTTGCTGACCTTGATGCCGCTCATGGCCGAAGCGGCCGCGGCGTTCTTGCTGTCCATGTCCAGCGCGTTCACGACCTCCACGGTGTCCAACTGGGAAAGCCCGGCCGCAAATGCGGTCGCCGCGAGGCCAGCCTGCTGGAGAAACATCCGTCGCTGCGGTGGCGCTGTGTTCAGCTGCCGGGGTTTCTTTGTGCTGTCGATTTGGATGCTCCTCAAAGCGTCTTGTTTGTCGTCATGGCTGAACAGATCGCTGCGTATTCGTTTTGTGGTCGGCGCCCGTACCGACGGAGATGCAAACGACGAAACCTGGAACGCCACCACTGCCGACGACATCGAGCATGATTCTTTGTCTCCAAAATTCGTTCCACGAGTTGTCAACAGAACCAAGACGGAACACAACAGTAAGGAAGGAGAAATAAACCCGTTTCGAGCGACGGAGCGAACATTAGTCATGAGCAAACTCCGCCGAGCCTTCATTGTGACGACGGATGAATGTACCCAACTTTTTCACCCGGAAACTAGATGATAAGTCTATCAATATAAACGCCCCGCCGTAGTATCGAGGAGCTGGATGTCACGTTGAATTCCTCTCGAATCCTTTCATCGAGTTGTTGTTGCTGATATACCGTACGGTATGTTCTCGTTCAGTGAGCCGATGTGTTGTTACACCGTACTTGTACAACATATCACAATGCATCAGCACTGAGCACGCGTTTTCCATTTTTTACTTGGCAGCTGAGTCCTGTGCTGAGGGGATTGGTCTGCTTTGGTGGGAGTGGAAAGTCGATGGTCAAGCACTGTATTAGAAGTACGAATCAGTATTCAATAATGACCTTAACCCTAAGATATGTAATTACTAGTAGGTCTTTTGTGGTGCGCAGCCAGGGGAAGTCGAAAGTTGGTTGTACCGGTACGCGCAGTACGTAGCGCTATGGGATGTGAGGGGTCGCGAACACTTTTTGTTACGTATCCATGGTACGTACGTATTTTACCAACTTGAACGTGTTCCGGCTTCGTAACCTCCTTTTCGCGCGGTTTAAGCAAAACTTCCCGACAATATTCCGAAAATTCGACAAATTTCAAGCCGCGATGCAAGGCTTTTTTGAGCTGAAATGGATTTAGGACCTCTCAAACGAATCAGTCATCGCCTGGGAGTTCGTACCAAAGTCCAGATAGGCTTTTTAGGTGTGAAAGTACAGGATTTTTGGGAGTGTGGATACGAGATCGTACTCGTACTCGTAACCTACGGTACGAGTGTCGTATCGTACGAGTTACTGCTTTCCAAGTTGATGGTTCACAAAATATTGAACTAATACTGTATTGAACTAATGCCACGTTTGGGAACTCGTACTGACTGGAATTTCAAATTTCACTCGCCACTTCCGTCGGTTTCGGAAATCGTGAAGAAAAAAATATTGCGTTCCCAACAGCTATGATACGACTTCTCGTACTTGTTCCACGAAGTTCAAGACGATGTACTTCGAAATACGTTTGGTACGATAACTCGTACAGAATGTATTTCCGGTAAATGAAGTGGAGCAACAGGAACAATTTCTCTATCTCATATTCTTGGCATTGCGTATGTACAAACCATCCTTTTGGAAGCCGATATCAACCAACACGGGAAGTACGGGATTATCTGCGAAGCAATAATAATGGCATACGCATCCTTCGCAAAGTGGTACGTCGCAAGGCTCAAGGCGCAGCCACTCCTTGTGAACGTTAGCTCGGGGTTTCTCTTGTTGTCCACCGGTGATGTCCTTGCGCAGCGAGTCGAGGTCCGGGCAAAGGAATCAAAACAGAAACAAATAGAGGAAGGAACCGCGGTCGCCAGCGAATCATCACTGACGTCTACGTCCATCCTGGGGGTGTCCATGTTTTTGCAGGCAACCGATGCCGCCTACCGAGCCGTCCAGGACGAAATCGCCTCCTTTGGATGGGACAAGTCCCGGACCGCCAAGATGGCGGCGTGGTCGATATTATTCACACCATTTTACGTCGGTATTTTCAAGATGTACGACCGATACCTGCCCAAGAAAAACTTGCCGAGCATCGCGGCTCGCGTGGGGTGTTCCTTTTTGTCTAGCATCCCCATCAACTTTGCCTTCTACAGCTACGGAACCGCTGTCGAGCACACGGTGGAATGGTACGAGAAGCGGCAGCAGCAACAAGCGCTGCAGTTTGCAAGGCTACACCAAGAACCTCCCAGTGACGAATATTCCGTCCAAACTATGGAGGTAGATGTGCCCTTCAGGTTCGATCGATTGGTGGAAAAGACCCAGCTAAAACTTGAGGCGGAATTCGTCACCACCATTGTGACGTCGGCAAAATTCTGGATCCCACTAAACTTTTTGTCATTTTCGGTCATACCCGCCCACATACAGCCCTTAAACCTTATGTTCTTTTCCGTCTTTTGGAACTGCTACCTGAGTATGTCGCAGCACCGTGAAGTGGTAATCGAAGGCGAAAAGCGAACAGAGAAACACGAAATAGATGTTGCATGAGCATAATCCTGCTGCACACCGGAATGCAGGTCACCATGAATCCAAAAGAAAGCGCACGAAGGAAATGCCTTTCTGGCAGAGCCGTGCGCATATGTTTAGATACAGGTTTCGTCACGGGATCCCACAACACCATGTCGGAGAAATTATTGAAGAAGGTTCGCACCAAGAAATACTGGTTTCTGGAAACGAATTCAAGACATTCTGCAGCATCCACGATGAAAATACTTCGCTTCCAGAAATGAGCGATAATTCATTTCATCGCTCCCATGAACGAATGGGCCATGAATTGTTGGCCAGTCCTCCACTCAGGAGCCGCATTATTCTTTTTGATCATTTTTGAGCATTTAGATGCCAATCTATCACGAAAGCAATCCCTTTCCAACAAAATTAGAGTTGGATGGTTACAAATGTTGAAGACTCGTAATAGATCAATAAACTATACTATTTGGGACTTTCCCCTTGTCTACCGTAGCTGTTCTAACCGCAATTATTCGGGGCTAGGCACTACCCTATCGATTCGAGTAGGCTGAGGGGTGACATCGTTCTTGGGCCTTCGTTTCGTGCGATTCCCGTCATTGAGCGGTTCTTCTTCGAACGCCGAAGAGGAAAGGATGGATTGCTGTTGCAGCGCCGACGTAGTTGTCGCCGTGCACAAGACGAACTCGTCCACGTCGATGGCCTCGCAAGCGGTCATGACCGACAGCGTGTGAATGCGGAGCCAAATTTTTTGCTGGACAGCCAACGCTTCGTCCCCGGTCTGGAGCTGGTTGGCGTCGATCGACATCCACTCGATCCGTAGATTTCGTTTACCCGAGGTCCACGACAGGCTCAGCAAGACAACTGCCGCTAGGCACTGGATCTGGTCGTCGTGACAGGGAGTAGAACCATTAGAATATTCTAAAGGAAGTAGGTTTACTGCTTCAGAAGAATTGAGTCCATTATCGATAGCAGTATCTTGCAGGCTGGAGTCTTTCCCGGTAGTTTCATTTGGCAGACGATGGACGTAGGCCAAGAGTCCGTACACGCATGGACAGGTATTTTCGTCTCCAAGTCCTTCTGCCAACCAATGTTCTAGTTGCAGGGAAGAGGAATGCGCTTCTCCCTCCTTCTCCTCCCCTCCTCCGTGGGGAATATGACGTTCCTGCTCCTCTTCATTTCTTGTGCTGCCTTGCCGCTGGCGATCGCTGCTGGATTCATCATCGGAAGTGGAAGCATTGCGCAATATAGCGTGTTTGTCGATCTCAGGATCTTCGTGTTGATCGGAGACAACTTCTTCTTCCTTGACAACATTGCTATCGCTTCTGTCGTGGGTGGTCTCGTAATTCGTTGTGCTCTCCATAGTGCTAGAGTTAGACGGACAAAGGTCGTGGTTACCATCCTCTGATCGCTTGCGCCGATACCATTGCGCGATAGATGAGGCATCGCCAGCGTGTGCTGCCCGAAATCGAATCCATGAGTTTTTCTCTGGTGTCAAATATTCCCGGACAACAGCAGTTTCGTCACTTTTAGAATCATCATCTCGATGTATAGACTGATCTTGATCTTTGTCTCGGTTCGCATCCCCATCTGAAATCTGAACCTCTACTTTCTTCGAAAAGCTCTTATTTGTGTTGCTGCGATCCTTCTCGTTGTGAACTACCCATTTCGTTTCGCAATTGTTGTAACCGTTACTTCTACTACCGGTACCTAACTGTACGAGGTACAAAAGAGCGCTTTCCAAATCCCAAATCTCGCCCCACTGATGTCGTTGCTTCTCTTGCTGTTCATTTGTGGTGAATGTTCTGTAGCTATGATTCGATCCATGACTGCGATCGTCGGTCCGGGAACTTGTTGTCGCTATTGGCACATTCGCATTCGTGTCCACCATCGAGGAGGAATCAGAGTCCATGGGCATTGAGGTTGGCGTGGGAATTGCCTCTTGTTCGCCTCGTCCTTCTCTAATTTGGTCGTCTAACGCATTCGTTTTTGCACTGCTACCACAGCTAGTGTTGTCAACACTGATATTTCTGTCGGACCGGACCTTCTTGGAATGTTCTGATTCGTTTTTTCGTGTGGAACTCCCGCGTTTCTTTCGGGATTCGTCTTCCTCTTCTTCAGAGGAGTTGGTGTGCTCGATGTTACTGTAATCACAAGGCATTCTTCGATTCCGAGTCGGGGGTACGATGTCGAAAGTAGTGCAGGAAAAGGAAATGGTGGCGTACAGGTATTGTATGTTCTACGAGATCGTTTCGTTAGCACCGTTTCGAGATACCGTTCTTCGGAGTACGAGAACTAATTGTTGTTGTTTCATGGTTCTTCGTTGTCAGTAATACACAAATCCTGATAGCTGCTAGAGGAGTGCAAGAATGGAAAAGCTGTTTGTTTAGTGATAGAAATAGAAACTTAGTCCCGATCAAGGATTTGTAAACTTCGTTTACACTCGTACATACTACTCGTATCGTTAGTACATACTATATTGAATAGTACTGACATCTCTATTTTTGGACCTTACGGTAAAGTATTTCTTTTTAACGTGACCAGGGTGCGCAAGAACTGTGACCGAAGTGCGCGCCGAGGTGCGCAGCAGGTGTGATTACATCGGTTCATTTGTCACGGAAGCATTTTCCACGATACGTTTCCTCAGGAAATTTACGATTTTTCATGGGGTTCGTAAGTGATCGATGTCGTTCAAAAATAATTGACTCAAGCCGCGACGGAATGCACAAAGATAACGCATCGGATCAAGTGAACAAAGCTTCTGTATTCGCAAAAGAAATTCATAGAGAAGAGGAGAAAAAAAAGGCACCGTTGTGGATGATGGAAATGAAGAACTCTAGGCATCTATTGAAATTTGTATTCGCACTCATCGTTCTGGCGAGTTGTGCGTCGCCTGCCTCTGCTGTAAAAAATCGAGGCGTGGAATATCGGAGGAGTAGAAGCAGCAATCTCAACCATAAACACGGCGAAGCACCATGGATAATCGATGACAAGAATTCAAGAAAAATTGCTGCAGTTGCAACTGAAAGCGACAAACCCAGAAAATCGATCAGAAGAAGTAGACGAACTAGAGGGTCGAATACAAAACATCAGAGCAGACGTGAATTGGGCAAGTCAAACTCTGGAAAGTCGAGCTCCGGAAAGTCGGGCTCTGGAAAGTCAAATTCTAGTGGGTCTGGAGGCTCCGGAGGTTCAAGTGGTTCGAGTAGCAGCAATCGTAGCTCGGGTGCAGGTTGGAGTGCAGTCGACGGATCCTACTGTGGATGCATGTGCATGTCTAACTACGCAACTTTTGGAATCAACACCCATGGTCTAAGCTGCGACTATACCGTTGATCAGAACAGTTATGGTTATGGCTTGAGGTAAGAGCAATCACTGCGCGCATGGAGCAAATATTTTCGGTCTTTCTTCGATGGGTAACTCAATCTCTCAATTGATGCATCTCTTTTCAAAGATCAACCAACAATGGAAACGGTCAGCAAGAAAAATATGGAGAGTTCCAGTCATTTTTTGAATGGAGTGCTTGGAGTAACTGGCAATCAGTCGAAGAGGATAATGAATACTTCACGAATTATGGTTATGAGAAACAAGCTAGAAACGGAGCAGACGATACCTACATTGAGTATGAAGGAGACGATGCTGGAAACGGAGAAGATGACCACAACGACGAAGAAGACGATGTTGAAGACGAGGGGATAGTCGTGAGCGAAATGGACTCTGGATACGATCCGTACATGGCATTCGATGTAGGAAACTGTGAAACGTACGCGCATCTCTGGACGTACGATCTTTTAGTTTCTTGTGCAGACGGTGACCAACACTGCAAATGCACATTTACAGAAGAACTGATGCGCATGGGTCTGCTGTCCTGCTCGGACGAAGCAAGTTGTCCCGACGAATGTGGTGTTTGCTCCAATTGCATTAAGAGTGTGTGTGGTCAGTTTGTCCCCAGCAAGCTAGTCACGGCAGAAATCAAAAACAACTCTACGATCATTCTCTTAGTTATCTTCAGCATGGTACTGTTGCTGTTGACCACTTTTGCGGTTATTCGTCGAAGAAAAAACAAGAAAGGTATATTGAACGAGAGCTTGATGGATACTGGAGATAAAAATTGGATGGTGCCTGTAAACGAAGCGGATGGACTTCCTGCTGAAAAAGGGGGGAAATCCAAGCCGGTATGGCTTGCTCCAGATGTTAGTACTGTACCACAAGTGCCTTTGTTTCCTGATTTGTTGAAGGATGTAAGCGAGCAGGATGCCATTACGTCACCAGATAGTGATACGATGCCAAAAGAAAACGAAATAAAGACCAGAGAGCACCAGCAAGCGGTAGAACTATCTCCAGTTGGCACCGATGGGTGTGACAGTCCTAAACGACAACACCCTGGTCCCTGGTTAGTACCGTCGTCGAACTGTTCTATTCCCTCAAGCATTTCAAATAGCACTGATAGTGGCAAAAGCATTGGCACATTAGAAGGAGAGATATAGAATGAAAATATTGCAGCAAGGCAAACAATTGAGTGGAAACGTCGATAGTTTATGTGTAAAACCGGACCGGTTCAAATACAAATGTTTTTATATGAATAAAAGGCACTGTAGTTTTTAAGAGCCTGTTTCATTTGTTTATGACCAGTGTCCCGGAGATGTATAAGGTTGACTGAATGTCGCAATAGATTATACATTGTCGGTCCTATGGACAATAGCTCTTGGTAGTAGTGTACTAGAGTTTGATGAAATCTGAAGTCAAAATCAATATTTCACAGTATTGATGGATGAAAAATTACAGAGTAATAACTTTACACAAAATAAAGGCATGAATTGGAACTGAGCACCATGAAAAGAGAAATTTAGGTTAGCACAATACCCTTCAATTTTCCACTCACTCTTTTGCATTTCCTGTTTTCTACATGGTGTTCCCCTAATTAGTGCAACATCATGGCATCAACATGGTAGGGGGGGGTTAGATATAGTAATGGTAAACAATTCTCAAAACATACACAAAAACAAAATTAGTCTGAAGCAGTATTGTGTATTAAAATACTGGTACATCCTCAATTTGCAAATAGTGGAAGCTGCAGCCCTACACTTTCATGATGATGCAACAAATATGTTTAAGAATAGTGATCATAATGATTGAGACAACCTTTGTTACATATCATATGAAAAGTGATGAAGCAAATCATCTTTCTTTCTCATTTCCTTGTTTTCTGACTATCATGCTGTCTAGTAGTAAATGCACATGGTGTATTTGACACTAGAAAACTTACTTTGCCTAGTTCTTGTTGATTTTGATCTCTTTCAAACAGAAAATGTCTACACTTTCAAAATCCTATAGCAGTATCACTGGTTCCCACTTACACCTATCTTAGTACTAGTACTACTAGTATCACAAAGATTAATATTGTTATCTAACTTGTTGGAAAATGGAGATCATTTTACTTGCATGGTAGGTATATTGGATCAATTAAAAAATACTCTGTCTACTACTACTACTACTACTAGTAGTAGTAGTAGTAGTAGTAGTAGTAGTAGTAGTAGTA